CGCGTCTGCGGCTCCTCCGCTGCCCGGGCGGCTCCGCGTGTCCTTCGTTCCGGGGCGTCTCGGTGATGGCCGCTCTGCCGTTTCGTTTTGATGTGGACGTGGGAGGCGAGCCCGGCGTTGGCCTAGTCTGCCGTCTTGACCCGCAGACTTCCTTCCACGCTCTTCGCTGTTTTGTCCCCCTCTATTTTTACTATATTTTTAGAGTGGATACTTAGCTCATGAATTTTCACCCTCCCCTTCTAATATTAGTATTTTAAGCTATCAACTTCCCTCAAAGCATGTTTTCACGTCTCAACAGGTTTCATATGTATTTTCATTATCATTGAATTCGAAATATTTTAAAGTATCCCTCATTTCTTCTTCCATATTTAGATATATTTTAAATTATGAAATATATGTACGTTTTTACTTAATATATAACTTAATTGTAGTGTAAGACTTCCTGACTCCTACGATACCAATTCTTTAATTTTTTTTATAGTGTAATGACAGATCAATTCTTGTACCTGTTCTAAGTCTGCTACAAATGAACCATGTTTTCTGTAATTCTTCAAAGCAGAAGAGTATATTTCCATTTCTATTTGGTGAGGCTTGGAAGTTTTAAATTTCCTGATTTGTATGTGATTTCCCATTTGAAAAGACCTGTTGAATTCTCTTTTGGTCGATTTTTCAATTTCTCCATAGGTTTCTATTAATTAATGTTTTCTTTATATTTTGAGGGTATTTTATGTGAATGCGTAATATGTGTAACATTTTCATGGAAGTGACATCCCACCACATTTGGCATATCTTATTTATTAGAAGACACAGGTTCTATCCACATTTAAGGGGAGGAGTTTACAGTGTAAGGATCATGAATGATCTTTCAGATCTACCCTTAGACTCTGGATACATGACTTTATACTGGTCAAAACTCACAGAACTATATACCATAAAGTAAATTTTTTGTATATAAATTAGAAGAATCTAAAACAACATGTACATTTTTGCTTATCAAATGAACAGAGATTTATAGAGAAGCCCTATTTTGATGAATGTGTAAAGAAATATGCACATTTATATGTACATTTATATATTCGTAGAAATTATATTTTCTACGAATATATTGAGGACAATTAAAAACCTTTCAGGTGCCCCAGGAATGCTGTTCTCTTTCAAACTCAGTAATTCCAATTCTAGACATTTTTTTTATGGAGAAAGATACACATAGAAATTAATGTACAATGATCTTCATTAATTTTAATTTTAAAAACGTGATATCAAAAATGTCTAGCAGCTTGGGATCTTATAGCTTGTTAGCTCCATGTGAAATATTATTAACATTTAATATTGTGTTCTCAAAGAATGCTAATGATATGCCCAGATGCCTTTTTACTTTCAAATGAGAAAAGTTAGAGAACATATACAATGTGATGCCAATTTTGGTTTTAAATTATGGTATATGTTGTCTTTTTTTTTTAAGAGCAAAAGGAAATAAACTCAAATGTTGACTTATTTTTTTGGATTATATAACTGCAGGCATTCTTTTTAATTGATACCTTTTTTATTTTTTAACAATGATCTTTTTATCATTAAGAAAAATTTTATTTTGGAAGAACAAGCCCAGCACGACCCAGGCAAACCTATAATCGTTTCAGTTGCTGTGTGTACTCAGAAGGCCACACTGCTGTCACCTGGGTGCTTGTCCTCTTGCTCCTTCAGGTACTGGACTCACTGAAGACGAACACCTGCTAAAGGGGGAGAGAGTAGCAGCACCCTCTCCAAGATCACGAGGCCTCCGAGTGGCCTAGCGGGCCACAAGCTGACGCTGGTGTCAATGTCCATGAGCCATGTGGGGAACAGGTGTCTTTAAAGCCCAAGTGACATAACCGGACATTTCCCTTCTTCGATGAAAGGATCTTTTCAAACCCTTCCCCAAAGCAGCTCTTCTTTTGGTTTTGGTCATTCGGTCCTGCTCTGGGGAATGACAGTAAGTTCAAGGACTGAGCGCTCACTGTGCGTTTCCTTATGCCGCATCTGGTGACCGGGGCTGTCTGGAGCCATCGCGCCACTGCCTCGGGCCCACCGATCCTACCTTTAAAAACGAGGTATTACTCCTGTAACACCCTGCGATCGAACCAGAGTTCTAAGTTGCAACCCTTGTTCTGTGTTGTTTCTCAACAGGGGTCAAGGGAAAGCTCCACGAAGGTGGCGCGACCCGAGGACAGTGATTCCGACAAGTAGCGACGGAAACGCAACTTCCCGTCAACCCACCTTCGAAAGTTACGGGTTTCTGAAGCGACACTCGGTGCCTCCTGCACTGAGGCACGGGGTTTTGTGGCCGCCCTCCCTTTTCTCCCCTCCTGCCCTCCCGTGTCACAGATGCTGCCTCTCAGGTTCGTGTCCTTTATTCACGTGAGCGCCGTATCCACTCAAATGTCAAGCGCTCGTTACTCCGTTATGGGACTTCACAGCCTCCCTCTCCCGCCTCCCTGCCCTCCGCTCCTCCGCACGTCCAGAGAGACACGTGGGTGTCGGTCCCAGCACTCACTGAGGCTTCGTGCACAGCAGAGCTCTGCCCGCGTGGGCGCTATTACAGGGGGCCTGGGGAGGGGAAGGGAAGGGAAGCAAAAGCGGGCGAAGCCATCGGAGTCAGGCGCGCCCTGGAAGGGGTCTGCAGAAAGGACAGGTGAGGCCCAGCCTAAGGCACAGGAGGCGTGACTGAGGGTGCCCGAAGGGATCGCTGGGAACAGCTGAAAGGCGCTGACCTTCCGCTTCCTGCTTCCTCCACGCCCTGTGCTGCCCATCCCCCCAAAGGGAAACCGTCACCCTGCCCCCTACTGTCGTTCGCTATTGACCCGCAAGCTTTCTATAGCTGCACATCATCCATAGCTATATATCAACCATGCGTCCGAACTGTTCATCTCTGATGACCCAGTCAGAGGGGTCAGTGGGTGGGGGGCAGGCCCTCCTCGCATGTCACCATCAGCTGGGACGGCAGGAGCAGGGCCTGCCTAACAGGGCTGTCCCAGCCGCAGGTAACTGTTGGGTCCCACCCCACCCTCAGCATCCACGCCGGTCTCGGGAGAAGGGGAGAGGTACTGAGGAAAGAGACTGACTCCCCACGGCATGGCAGTGGCCCAACCAGGGCCAGGGGGACGAGAAAATCGTGACTCGCTTTCATCGGTGGTATCCGAGTCGTGGGGCTGAAGGAAAAAGGACAGGCGCAGGGACAGAGGTCACTTTCCCATCAGCCGACTGCCTGCCCTCTGTGACGCCGGGGTCCTTGGTTGCTGAAACCCAGACTCGCCTGCGGTGGCCTGTGTTCCAGCATCAGAGACCCCACTATGAAGTACTGGAGGCCTGACGGCGAGCGCGATGCCGTGATTTAGAGGGGACGCCGTGTTTTAGAGGGGTTCATTTCTGCGGGACACGTGGGCTGCGGGTTGCAGGAAGTCACAGCACAGTGGGGAGGGGAGGGCGTGCCGAGGGCTGCGCACGCAGTCTCGGGAGAGCAAGTGTTCTGTTACATGCTGTGTGACGGTGACGCGAGACGCTGGTCGTCTTGTCACGTGGAGTCCTCCAGCAGCTGACACGGTGCCTCAGCCTGAGCGGCTCACGGGAAGACTGCAACGTGAAGGCAAACGGGGCATGCAGCGTCGGCGGGGCCACCGGCCTGCGTCACCTTCCGGCCCTTCTCCCAGCAGCACGGGCCATCTCCACTGTGGCCACTGACCTCGGGATGGCTCACGGGCAGCTTCGTGATCCCCCATTGCCGTGAGCTTTCTGTGGCCTCCCCTTTCTCTCAAGGCTCAATTAGATGACAGGGCTGTGTCAGTATGTTTTTAAAGGACTGTCCTGAGTTTTCTCAAAGGGTAGTGCAAGCTCAGACTCGAGTCAGGCCTAGGAGCCAGAGTATGGTAGGGGACGCGGCTGACAAGCGCTTGTACCACGTAAAGAAGTTAGGTCACTGGAAAGGAAAACTTCTGATCCTAAAGAAATCTTAGCCACCTCAAGCTGACCAGTCTGCTGCTCTTTCAGAGTCAGGAGACGGCTGTAGGGTTCCCCCCGTGCTAAGGATCGCCAGCGCCCCTAGCTGGCCTGGCCTGGAACTGCTGCTCGTCCTCACACCTGAAAGGTTAGAGACCCCAAATGCGCACATGGGTAGCAGGCAGCAAGGTGCCGGGGGCATAAAGCACTCAATGTGCAGGGGATCATGTTAGCTGGGCGCCCTGCCAGCCAGACCTCCCTGCAACGTGCAGAGCAATTTTCACATCTCCTAATAATCCCCAGTCTGAGGTGCGTGGCGCTGCTTTGCTACATTCCCCACCTGCCACGTGCCAACGTCCCCGTCATTCCTCAGTCACCGACGCCTGTTGGATGTGGCCCACAGTGTTCATCCCCAGCCTAGATACTATGATCCTGACTCGCTAAGTATCCATGTAAGTGGACCATCTGCCATCCTAGCTGCACAGGTGTCTTAACCACTGCAGTTCGCAAATCTCATTCCAAAACCCACTGACTACAGGTCCAGTTTTCCAAGTACTCTACACGCATCGCCATGACGCCAAGGCCTCTCTGCAGCCTCTCAGCTCACTTCTGACCCAACTTCTCTGTCCAGTCTGGATTCTCAAATCCCTTTCTCTGCAACTCCTCTCTTGCTAGCTTTCCGCCCGTCAGTCAAGGTCAGTCCTGGGCAACCAAACGTTCCTCGTAATGCCGCCCCAGGAACACTTCCTGAGTTTCTAGTCAAGTTTGAAACACATGCTGTAAGTGCTCTGGTTCACGGCCCCACTCCCGCCTTCGGGCCGTGTATTTTGGACATTCCTTAGAAACACTGCTTTGCCTCCATAACCCATCCCTGGCCATGTTCCTGTGCACCACTCACCCGTCTCCACGCTCCGGTGGCCGGGCCTGGGGCCGGAGCCCATTCGCTCTCCCACCCCTACCTGCATCACCTGTCAGGATCTCATCCCGTCCGCGGTCATCTGTCCCCACATCTACAGGGCTCGCTGGTCAGTCCCCACCGCAGCCTGCGAGCACACTGTGTTCTCCACGTTCAAGCAGAGCACATGGGGCTCACTGCAGGGCCCCGACGACACTTTCACTTGTGTTCTGGTTGTCACATCTTACCGAAGGGAGGCTTCTCATGGGGCAATAATGATTAAGGACGGTAAGGAAAAGATAACGACAACCTGTTCAGTGGTGGACACACGGCGGGGGCCGGCCTGCCGGGGTAGGTGAGGGCGCAGCTGACCTGAGGGGCAGCAGGCAGCTGCCATGGCAGCCATGCAACATGTGCAAGTAGCCGTGGCTAACGTGCAGGCATAGCAACCGCAGTATTTCACGTGTGACACGTGTGGTACTTGTGCCACAGGTCCCCCTGCTCCCCCCCTCAGCAAACGTCGCTGGGTAGCTACGACACCCTTTCCCACTGAGCTGAGGCCTGGCTTGCGAAGCCGTTTCCTGTGGCGCTGCGGGCAGCGCCGTCAGGTGTAGATGGCATCGAGATTAAGCATATCCACTACCCTTGCGCTACACGGGCAAGTCCTCAGCGACAGAGTGAGCAGGTAGCACTGAGCCTCAGCAGAAAGCATGTCGTAGACAGCTTGGACGTCGCAGGTGAGCGGCCAGGAGAAGTTCAGCCCATGGAGATCACAGAGCAGGCGCCCAATTAATGTCTGTTGATGATTCATTTTTTCATTCAACAAACATTTAATGAGGCCTACAATGTGCACTGGATTAGGCACCGCGAATACACAGATGAGCAGGGCACTGTCCCGGCCCGTAAGGAATTTGGAGTCTGGCAGACGACAGCCGTAGACACGGACAATGATAATACAACCTGCTAAGTGCTGGGACACTTAGCAGGTTGTATTATATCCATCCGAGCAGGACTTCTTCAGGACAGCACAAGTCCAGGTCGCTGTTAGGTCCATGAAATCCTCCCAGCCACCAGGGCCTGCTGTTTGTCACGCAGTGAGTGTCCCAAGAACTAACAATAATAGCTGTGATATATAGCGTGTTTATGGCATACCCTTCACAAACGTCCTCATGGAAAGCCTGCAAATCAATTATTAGATTAGGTGAAGAAGAAACTGAGGTTCAGTGAGGTTAAGTGACATGCCTCAGATCACACAGGTAGTAGTGGAGTCAGCTTTCAAATCCAGTTTTGACCAATTCCAAAGCATCTGTTTTTAAGATCACCTGTGTTCAGGTGTAACGACTTTTCAACACCTTTCTATTTGGAAATAAGAACAAAGGCAGCACGTTAGTGATCAGAGAGGACAGCATTCATCGGCTTTCCCAAACTTCGGCAGAGAGAGAAGGGTGGAGAGACCTCACGCCAGCATGCCGTCGACCACCTTGAGACTGGTTTCTCTCTCTCCCTAACCCCAACATCCTCACTGACATGAAACACCAAGCATCCCTCTAGTTAACTGTCTTCATCCTTCTCACAGCCAACATCAGCAGCAGCAACTACAGGTGACACAGCATTTAACATATTCCAGACCTGTTCTAAGCCTTTAAAGCCTTACATTTCCTCCCTCCTTCACCAAAATCGTCGCAAAAAGATATCATCCCTATTTCACATTAGGGAAACAGTCTCAGGTGAAAAGCTGTGCTGAAGGCCACGTCGGCAAGTGTCAGCAGCTCTGGGCCCAGACTATCTGGTGCCAAGGCCGATTCTCACTGTGCTGCTTTGCTGTCCCACTCAGGACTTCCTCTCCCAACCCTGCCTGTTGCGACTGAAACTGCATGAGGCCTACTTAACTACAATCTCCCGTGAGGCGGACTGGCCACAGAAAGCCACCCTCTGAATCCCCAGCATTGCTGCTCTGAGTCTGAAGTGGGGAATTCTCCAAAATACACTGTATGGCTTTCAGAATAGAAGAAAACATTTCATAAGTTTAGATTTTTAATTAATATATTCTTTACTTGAAGACGTAACCATAAGTGTTTTTAAATCCGTAAGCAAAAGAAAGCAATTGAGAATGACAACTAAGGCCGTTTCTTCCCTGGGTGGGTTTTAGATAGAAAAGCCCCTACATGTGTTTAAAAAAAAGAAAAAAAAACGCTTTGGTTGGCATGTGTAGTGATGGTAGTAGCCCTGCCGCCAATGAGAAGGACCAGGAACTTAGTGACACTGTAAGCGCTCTGAAGCTGTTCACGTGTCTTCCTGAGCATCAACATTTCAAAGGAAACAAAAAACCTGTGCGGCCCCGGTAGAGAAGGCTCCCACAGCAGCAGCACCCATCTGAAGGGCGCGAGATCTTTGTCAAGGCCAGGGGTGGCGGCGGGGGGAAGCTCGTTTCCCAGAGGCTGGAAGCCCTGACTTCCCCTCCTCACCACCTTAATTTCCCCATGGTCTACTACGTCTGCGTTTTCGTGCCCCCCGATTTGAAAGGCTGCCCCATCTCCACTCCCGCTCCTTTTGGCCGTAGACCATCTATCACGGTAACTCTTACAGCATCTTTCTAACTGCTCCCCCGGTCCAGATGTGAAAATCTCCCAGAACGTGCTTGATGCTGCTGCCAGAGCGAAGCAGGAGCATCCCCGCCTTACCCAGACTTCGTGGCACACTGTGTTAGGCCCGATTCCTGGCGTGCGTTTCAGGGACCGCGCGCACTTCCCCCAACTCATCCTCTGTCCGGCGTCCACGCCTGTTCTTAGACTGTCCTTTTCCGCTTTCCGTCTGATCAACCTTTACTTAAGAGTCAACTTAAGCCCCAGTTCCCCGCACCTCTAGCACCTCCAGACTCAGTCGAATGGTTCCTCTTCCGAACCCCACTAGTTCCTTGTACGTACCTCCAATGGAGAGCGCAGCACACTGTCGTAATTACCTGTGCCCGCGTCGAACTCCCACTAGACCGAGCGGTCCTGGAGGGCAGGGACCGTGTCTCATTCATCTCCGCGTCCCCGTCACCCAGCACCGCGCCAGGCAGCTAAAAAGGCAGCAGAGAGAAGCAGCTGAAGGCGCAGGAGACAGAAAAATAAAGCAATATTCTTGAATTGGGGCACAACGAGCTGAAGCTGTACAGAACTCTACTTCAGCTCAACATCGCAGAGAGGTCTCCACAGAAAAGACACCGTGCCTCACAGATGAGTGGTCCCATCGCTGAACGCAGCCACCCACAGGCTATTCGTTGACTATATTATAAAAGGACCTGAATTAGGGTTAAACTGAAATAAGCAATTCTGGGTACGAGACTTTTTAAGGTCCTTCCACCCTTGAGGTTCTCTAGCTACAACCTGTATACCATTAGCAAGAGAGCCATCGCTCTGAGCCTTTGTCACAGACCTGGGTGTGAATGGTGGCTCCCAGAGCTGTGGGCAGGGGCTGAGGCAGCTTATGACAGCCCGTTCTCCGGTGGCCTGCTTCCCAAGTAACCCTTGAACCTGGAGCAGGAAATACTTTAAACGCTCGCGAGGCCACCAAGGAGGACGGCATGACCCCAGATATCTTCCACAACCTGCTACCTAAAGCCTGAAACGTCCTCCTCGAACCTTTAGTGCCTTTGATCGATGTTTGTTAAAATGCCACTTACTTAATCTGATGTGGCGAGCTGGCATCGATCACGTGTTTACTAAAGGACGGATAAAAGCACCAAAACCCTTCTGTAACCCATGAAATCATCTAGTCTGAACTTCACCTCCTCCCAACACAAATCAAATAATGCCTACGAAGTATCCTGATTTTTAATTCTGGTACTTAGTTCCCCCAACTGCAGAATAGAGGGGTTGTATCGAATGATTCCTTTTATGCCAGAGAAACTCAAGGATTTATGAGCCTATGTCTTTTTCTCCTATAAAATAGACATGTGGAACCTATCCAATTTCACCAGATTTTTATAAGGAGCAAGTAAAACCAGGTTTGCGAAAGGCTTCTAAATGGCCAAATGCTACACGAACTTGAGGACTTACTACTGCAAATTAAGATGTACGGGAGGAGAGAGGTTAAAGTATGCTGTGCCATTGATTAGATGAGCGACCTTAGCAAACTTTTTCTACCTCTCTGGGATGCCTCAGAGGGTTGTGGTGACGATTACATTGGAACATGTGAAGTAGGTGCACAATAAAAGTCAGTTTCATTTGCCCTGCTTGAGACAGAACTTCAAGAATCAATGTGACCTTCGAGTTCATGTAATCCTCTCATTCCACGCAGGGACATTCTCAGATTCCATCCCAAGTGGTCATATAAGCCACTAGGCATCACTCCCAAGAGTATTTATTCCTCCATTAACTAGAACTGCCTTTGAAAAGAGCAAAACCCAACTATTCCTGTCTCCATAAGGAATCTGAAAAGCCCACCAAACTCTCCATTTTAGGGGTCGTCTCCCACAATCCAAACAGCTCTAATTCCTATGATGCTTCTCATAGGATCGAAGTTCAGATCACTCTCTGTATCCTGGATGGTCTCCTCTGGCTCCGTCTCAGAGAGTTGCTCTTAAAATGCAAATAAAACCATCGAGTGGAACAGTATTCTTACCTCTCTGATTTTAAGCTTTCGTAGTGAGAACACAACCAGTTAGCTTTCGTACTGGAGGGTTCGAAGGTCTCCGGCGGCTACATGTCCTGTGAACGATCGGCACTGAGTCAGCAGAAGCTGGCAAGAGGGAGGAAGCACCTCTAAGGGGAAAAGCGGGGTGTCCAAGGGATGCCGACAGCACTAAGCACAAGCAGCTTAGTGCGTGGTTTCCCCACGTTAGCGATCGCTTCTGCACATATGAAAAACAGGGATATGGAACATTCTAAATGGTGCAGGCTCCTAGGGCCATGTGGCAGAAATAGTAACATCGTTTCTATTATTATTTAAATTTATTTTTTTTTAGGCGGGGCATCCCTTGGTTGACCTCACAGATTGCAAGCACCTAGTCAGCTTACAATCCCTTATTTTTAATTTAGTTTTTACGCCTATAGCACCCGGTCTTCCTAGGTGGTCTCCCATCCAAGTACTAACCAGGCCTGACCCTGCTTAGCTTCCGAGATCAGACGGGATCGGGCTTGTTCAGGGGGGCGTGGCCATAGACACATCATATCTAAAAACACATTTTATATCACGATCTATACTGAAAAGTCTATACAGATGACCTCTGTAATTTTCCCACCAGAATCTCAGTTCCTAAGACATCTGCCTGTTTCTTTCAGAAAAGAGGAAAGAAATATCGAAGATAATCAGCGGAATACACGCACGGAGAGACAACACCGGAGACCTGAATAAAAGGAGAAACGTACCACGTTGGTGTATGAGAAGGTTATAAAGACGACCATTCTCCAAAAGGTAACCAATACATTCAATGCCATTCCAATCGCAATTCCAATGATATCTGTAGTGAGAACTTGACAAGTTGTATAAAAGGTCTCCTGGAAGAATAAGTACATGAAAATAAAGAAATTTTAAAAAATCAGAATAAGGGACTTGCCCTACTAGTTATTAAAAACTAAGCATATCGAAAAGGGCAGGAACCACACTGTCTAATCACAATGCAATACATCATATTTTTTTTTTAAAGAAAAAGTAGTTCAAACCAGAAATCCTCAACATGAAACATCACAGTAAATAGCTACTGGGTCAAAAAAAATTTTTAAATAAAAGATATTTCATAAATAACAAAACAACACTACTTATGAGATTCAGCCAATACCATAGATAGCCTGAAGTTCTCTCATAAGATAATGAAAAAGAATAACTCGCAGTAAAGACAACAAATATAATTGGAGTCAAACAAAAGAGAGAAGGGGGTAGAAAAAATATACGAGTAAATAATGGCCAAAAACTTAACAAAAGTGGTGAAAAAAATGTTACTCTATACATGCAAGGAGATAAATGTATGCCAAAAAGGGTAAAGTCAAAGAAATTCAAATCTAGACTCATGATAGTCAAATCATCAAACTGACTTCATGATCTCGAATGTAGCAAGAGAAAAACAACTTACCATGTAGAACGGATCCTCAATAAGTTAAAACTGGCTTCTCATAAACCAGAGACCAGAAAATAGTGATATGATATAGTCAAACTACTGAAGAAAAAAGAATGTAACTGAGAATTCCGTTTCCAGCAAAACAATCCTTGATAAATGAAGGACAAATTATGACATTCCCAGATAAACAAAAAGCGAAAGAACTCAGTGTTAGCAGACATGCCCTATGAGAGATACAAAACGGAGTCCTTTAGGCAGAAATAAAAGGACGCTAGACAGAAACTCACACACGTACATGAAAAAGAACACCAATAAAAGTAGCTGCATAAGTAAATATAAAGGACAACAATTCTATTTTTATTTGTAATACTTCTCATTTCTGACTTAAAGACAATTGCGTAAAATAACTAGAAAACTGTGTTATACGCTTACAGTGTATACGGATGCAATTTACCTTACGAATAATTACATTAAACAGAAGTTTTTAAAAATCCAATCAAAAGGAAGAGTTTGGTGAAACATTTAAAAAATACAACCCGCTCACATGCCATCTACAAGGCACACAGTTTAGACTCAAAGACACGAAAAGGCTGCAAGTAAGAGGTCAGAAAAAGATAATACCAGTCAAGACAGCGATCGAGAGAGAGAGACTAGCTGTACCAATGAAAAACAATTAAAAGGTTGTTACTAGAGACAAATAAGGATCTTTTATTGTAATTAGGATCAATCCATCAGGAAGCTATAAGCATTATAAACAGAAGAAAAAATAGACAATTCAGAAACAATAGCTGGAGACATCAATACCACACTTTCAATAACAGAACAGCTAGGTAGGCAGAAGATCGACAAGGAAATAGAAGGCTTGAACAACTCGGCAAACCATTTGACCTATTAAGCATCTGTAGAACATCCACACAACTACAGAAGGCACATTATTCTCAAATGGACATGGAACATTCTCCAGGATAGACCACGTGCTTAGACATAAAACGAGTCTCAATAAACTTTTAAAAATTGAAATACAAAGTATATGCTCCCTCAGTGAAATGAAATGAAAACCCGTAACAGAATGAAATCTGGGGAATTCAGAAATATGTGGAAATTAAACCACAAATTCCTAAATAACCGATGGGCGAAGGAAGAAATCAGAAAGAGAATTAGAAAATACTCTGAAAGAAAATGAAAACAGAACATATAAAACTTCGGTGATGCAACGACACAGTACTTAGACAACTGTGGCTGTAATCACCCACACTAAAAACGAAGATCTCCAATAAATGAGCAAACTCTCCACCTTAAGAAATTAAAAAAGAGCAAACTAAACCCAAATAAATCAGGAAGAAGGCAATAATAGAAATTAGAATGGAAATAAATGGAAGAATAGAAAACAAAATCAAGGAAACTAAATTTGGTTCTTTGAGGCAATAAAAAAAGACAAACCTGTAACTAGACTGACCATGAAGAGAGAGAACGCAAATAAATATGATCAGGAATAAGCAGGTGGACATTGTCAATCTCATAGGAACAGAAAGAATTACAAGAAACAGCTAAAGGAGTTCGCCACCACCAAGCCATTATCACAAGAAATATGAGAGACTTCTTTAGAGATGGAGAATCAAAAAGATCAAAAATATGAATAATAAAATGGCCATCGTTACATATCTATCCCCGATTACTTGAAATGTAAATAAATAGATTAAGTGTCAAATCAAAAGTCATAGGCTGGCTGAATGGGTAAGAAAACAAGACCCTTACATATATCTGCTGCCTTCAAGAGACTCACTTCAGAGAGAAAGGACAGACAAAGGGATGGAAAAAGACATTTCATGTAAATGGAAATGAAGAGAAAAAAAAAGCTAGGGTAGCAATACTTGTATCAGACAAAATGGACTTTATAAGAGAAGCTAAAACAAGAGACAAAGGACATTTCACAATGATAAAGGGATCGAGCCCACAAGAGGACACAGCTCTTGGAAACATGTCACGTGCTCACTGGGGCAATGTTACAGTCAACGAAAATCAGCCAAAGTTACTGCACCAAAAGTACAATAAAATATAGGAAGTAACAGTATTTGGAAATGTTGGAACAGTCCATTAAACCTTTAACAATATACTCCCTTAGACATTTTTCATATATGGAGTAATGTTCTCCCATGAGATCAACTGGTTTTAGCAGAAACAAAGCATCTTCGGTGTCTGATGTAAAGAAATCGTCTGCATACTTTGCTAGTGAAATTTAAAAATTGCTACTGTTAAACCAGAATGATGAAGCTAAGAAGCAGGGATATCAAATTATACAAATCGCACATCAGCAGGACACTATAGTGCACACAAACAGCGACGCCAAACTTTTTGAGTTCGAACCTGTAATTGCATGACATCAAGAAATGAAACGAGCGTCCTCGAAATTCCTCGAATGTATTTTTGGCTCACTAGCAGAGTCATCAGGTTCCCATTTTAATACTCTATCAAACCAGATCTGTGATGCGAGCGCTCTAACATCGTTTCGAGAGGGCTCCGCGTTGTGGACTAACGTGGTACTACAGAATATCGAAAGAAAACTATTATGTCCACAAGGCGGCGACAAACCTTGAAATACTTTCTGACAATGAAGGACACAAAAATCCTGCAGAAATTCGGTGGCAGACGCTTAAACTTACATGAGAATAGCTACTGCAACATAATCCCACTGATCTGCTTTAAAGATGCCACTCACCTCAGTGAACGTAGATGTAACATTAACAATATTAGAAGCGATTAAACAGCCTTTATCAAGACTAAAATATTTTGGGCTTCTTTAGTGCTATCAGATTGTAACGTTAATATAAATCTCCCTACGATCAGATTTCTGATGCAAGTGGTAAACCTAACATGTCGAAAAGGCACTGTATTTTAGGGTAAAATGAGTGACGCTGGATTTTCCATCGTTTCCTTTTTTGTCCATTAAACTATGCAAAATCTGGATCATGTTTTCTTGGAGTTTTAAGGGTGTTGGCAAGATTATAAGTTTACATCTCGCAAAAGTAAAGTGACCTATAAACAAGATCACACTATCAATAATATATGTGTAAACCTACGAAAGGTGACAATCACAATGCCCCATTATTGTCATCACTAGAGCATAAAACTGGAGATGATAATTCCTGCAGGGAAACAGACAACCAATCAGTAATCCAAACTGTGGAGCATTAAGTAGTAGTGAATTTCCAGTCATTGTTTATGGTCTGCAGGAATACACATATTTAGAGGAACACCGTAAATGGGTAATACACTCCGCGTAGCAGTAAACAGCCTCATTAAGACCTTTAACAACCAAAGAAAAACCAAATGGGGCCTGACAATCTCATTAGAGTACTCATTAAACTTATTCAGATGTATAATAATAAAAGGTGCTCAACACTCTTATATTAGTGACTCAAAATGGAGGAATCAGATGGTAAGGCTACTGGAAATTGGGGAGCGACTTCTGGTCCGCTGTTACTTTGCAAAGGGCGCTATCGTGTGGACAAACTGGGTACTAGATCAAAGCCATCAGAAAGGTTACCTCGCGTCCACAAGATGGCGTCAGATTCCCAGCAATGTCAGTGTTTCTGGTTATGTAGCACTGCTGATGGCCACAGTTTGCGACATTCACGTGAACTTCAAACCATCTAAATCCCCAAAGGGCAATGATGTATGTGCCAACTGCACAGGATACAATTCTGGATTAGCTCCCACTTGTCCATAGTTCTGTGATAAGTCTGGAAAGGCCCGATGCATTACAGCCTGAGAAAACTTAATGGGCAGTGGAACCAACGAGAAAACGGCCAGAGACGGCACTGAAGCTATCGGCAGGCGTGCGCTTATGACTAAATGAACCCACGCACGTTCTGGCCTGTCAGGGGTCCTTGGGAACAAAAATCAGAGAGCGAACGTGGCACCTACTAAACGGCAAGACTGTGTGGACGAATTTACTACAAAAACACCAAAAAATTACCCAACTGAAAATGTCAGATCTAAAATTTAGAGCCATGCCAGGATATTCACTGTCAGTACAGGGAAGAGAGAAGTGTTGAAAAATTACTTGCAAAATGACAATGATAATAAATACATTCATGATGCATTCGGCATAAAGGACCGGCTGTCGACGGTATACAGATGCTTCAACTTAACGTACAAGTGTCACCCACCGGATGATGCCATGACGGAACTGCTGGCTCCCAACGCTGCATGGAGTGCAGCATTAGGAGCCATTTTCTTCAAATCCGCCTGATAATTTTATAAGACAATGCTGTGAGGACAAATTAAGTATTACAGAAGATCCATGGTATCCGGTCTTTTTGTCCAAAACGCAGCACCGAATTTGGCAAGTCTTTTGAAAGAGGTGATGGGCAAGGCGATCCTACTTAACGTTGCCAAAAATTCACACAAAAATGACTCCCGCCCCAAAGCACATAGGTTCCT